GTTCATGAAACATTGGCTTAAGAAGAAAACTACTGTTGCTCATCTCTGCCAACTGACCAAGCTTGGAAGCTGCGCGTCCGCTCGCAGGGAGCAGCTGCAGTAGGGATGGGCCCACCACACCCGCCCCTACACTGCTGCCTCTTCCCTGACAGCTTCTCCAGTGCTCCTCCTGTGCTGAGCACCTGCTCAAGCACATTGGCAGGTGGTGGCCAAGCCAGGTTAGGAGGTGGCCCTCTGTGTAATTAGTGGTTCCTTTTGAGTCCATGCTTGCTTGCTTGCGTTAGGGGAGGGCTTGAGGAAACCGGGAGAGTGTTGAAGTTTGTGTGTGTGTGTGTGTGTGTGTGGCTTGTGACAGAAGAGACAGTCGGGAAACAGCTGGTTTACGACTGATGGTTTTACTCCTTAATGTATCTAGTTTTTTTCTAAGGTCTTGGTTTAGATGAAACCTCCAAGAAAAGGAATGTCCATGTTCTCAGTGGTGATTCAGAAGCACAGCCTCATGCTGACATGCAGTGCCGTGGGGCGAAGCGTTCTCGTCTCCCTGTGTGGAGCTCTGCCTCGTGACCTACCCTTTCTGGCTCAGTCTTGGTCATCTCATTGTCTGCTTGAACCACAGCGTGTATCTCGAGACCTTGATGACAAGAAACGTGGCTGCCTGCGGCTGTGCTGGTGGCGACGAGCCCAGGATCCCCGTGAGGAACCAGGTGCCCTTGTGTTCTCTGGTGACCACGCTTCCTGCCGCCCACGGCCCGGCTACTGTGCGGCCCCTCTCACAGCACATCCGGGTGGTGACTGTGACATTCAGGGCCCGGTCACACTCTTCCCCATCCACCTGTGTGACCGGCAGGGTCATGAGCATGTCGCCCAGATTGGTGCCATTGATCGTCCAGCCACTGAGGACACCCACTGTCCCTGGGACAAGGACCTGCTCGGCAAAGTCCCGCTCAGGGGTGCACACGGGGAGCCCCGATCCGGGACACCGCACAGGCCGCTCCAGCTCCAGCAGGGAGATGTCATTCTGGCCTGACTCTGCGTCATAGTGTGTGTGCACATGAGCACGCCTGACCCTGGCCGTCCACGGGGCCTCACCTGGCCCGGCAGGACCTGGAATCGGGTGAGAGAGACCGCTCAGAGGCTGAGCGCCCAGGGAGGCCACATGTGACAGCGGTCACAGGACGGTCCCACTGCTCCTGAGGCCTGGTCGCACTCCCTCCCTGCAGGCAGCGAGTTCTCTTACTCTGGAGAAATGGAAAGTAGGAGCAGCGAGGAGGAGCCGCTCCAGACTCGTCGAAACTTACCTGCTCTGAAGGGTTTTCAGGCTATTCTGTTAAATCCAGTTTATGGGGAAGAGTGAAAATATATTTCCTTTGAAGTCCTTCACATTTTTTACTGAGCACATTGAGATTTTATTACAGGGACTTCCCAGTTGCCCAGGGAGAGAAGCTACTGCCCAGCTGGATGAGGAAACAGCACAGATCTGTATGGGGATGGGTGGCACTACCCCCTGAGTGCCACATGCAAGGGGCTGGGCCAGGCCTGACCTGCCAGCTCTGTCCCCCACAGCGCTGTTCCCTTTTGATGTCAAAAGAAGTCACTTTTTATAGCTTTTATCGTCCTCCTGCTAAGTATGAGTCAGCCCTCACCTGCTGCTGCCCAGATGTCCTTCAGGGTGTTCTGTGTATTCTGCGTGTGCTTTCCCATCTTTTGACTATCTCAGTACCACTGACGCTCTGTTCAGTCCAGTCTTGCATTAGAAACAAGTTGTTCTTCCAGTGTGATCTTATAAACACTCACAAAAAATACTTACTTGATTTGACACTGATGTTTCTGTGTGACAGTGAGCACTGTGCTGTTGTCAGTATGAAACGCTCCTGGATGAGGACACCACTGCAGAAGCCTTTCCCTTGGGAATCTGTCAGTTTGACCTTTGAAAAACAAAACAGACCTGGGACAGCTGAGGGCACGTGCAGGGTTGGGGCGGTCGAGCCGGTGGCCAAGGATGTGGCTCCATGGATGGCGGTTACCACGTGTGTCCCACCCTGCCCTGAAAAGGGCTACTGGACCTTGAGCAGATCCTGGCATCACAAGCATCTGTCTGCCAGGTAAACCTGCCCCAGCCCAGGTGGAGGAACACCTGTCAGGTCCACCTGCCCGCCCTGACCAGTGTGTGGACAGAGGACAGCTGGGGCAGTGAAAACCTGGGGAGAGAATCGTGACACAGCTCACACGGGCTGACACTGGGGCCCATCCTGCCCTCGTGGCAAGGCTGCTAGGTGAACACAGGGGCCTCCCTTGGTGAGTAAACAGGCCCTGTGCGGAGTGCTGCTGTTGTCCTACCCATGTCCTAAAAGCAGTAGCCAGTGGATGACATAACCCTATGGCTGACCCGAACCCCAGAGCAACACATAAGTGCACTTACAGAGCATGGTGTGATCTGGCTCCTGCCAGGGTAAAACACGGTGCCTGCCGCCCACCGCAGGTCAGCAGGCAGCAGAGGAATGGGACCGAGGCCCACACTGGGCTGACAGTAGTGAGATGTGGGGACAGTGTTCCAGCCACAAAGTGAAGGAGAGGCAAAGAGCACAAGCTGTAGAGGGCGCTGAGTACGATGGGACTGATGGCAGAGCCGACTGCAAAAAACGAAGGCTGGAAACTCAGGACCCAGCAAGAGAAATGACCCGGGTGGACACAGGCAGAGATGTGTCAAATGACTGGACTGTCTGGGCTTCGGATTCAGACAGCCTAAGTGGCAGGTACCTTGTGTCCTAGGAGAGGGCAGGGACCCAAGAAACATCTGACAAGATAATGGCCAGAATTTCTCCAAATTTAAACTGTAAGTTGAGCACCCCCAATCTGAAAATCTGGAATCTGGGAATTTGCATGATACCACTACACCAGCGGTGCTCCTAAAATCCAGAATCTGAGATGCTTCAAAGTCCAACTTTTTTAACCCTGCCATGACATTCAGAAAGTTTTGGGCCTTGAAGCATTTCATATGTTTGGGTTAGGGAAGTGCAGCCTAGTCTCCATAAATCCTGCAAAGCACAAGGCCTTGGGAAAATGAATCACTTGTGTGTATCTGAGCACTTGGGTAAGAGTTCCCAGACTGGTAACCCCAGACGCAAGAGCCTCGGGATGGATAGCAGCAGATGCATCAGCTTGCTGTGTGGCACCAAGGCTGGCAGAAAGCCATCCAGGCAGCACAGGGAAAGGGCAGTGGGAGGAAGAGGGCAGGCGATGGCTGTGAGTCTGCAGAGAGGAAGGGGCAGTTTGCCGGTTCTGAGGATGAAGGAATTTGGGCCTCCACAGACAAAGCCAGGACTTTCCCTCCCGTGACCCAGAGCACAGGAGATGCCGGAGTTCTCAGCAGAGGGGAGGCACCAGGGCAAGGTCCCCTTGGACTGTGGGTGGGACAGTGGGTAGGAACCATGTCTACTCCACATGCACGTCCATTGACAGGCACATCCCAGGACACTTGCAAGTCTCCTGTCTTGCTGCTTTAGTATCTTTACAGGATACCGCTTAACCAAAACTAATTAAATACAGTGTGGCACTTTATTTTGAGGTGGGGCCTGTCTCATTAAGTTGCCCAGGCTGGCCTTGAACTGGTGATCCTCCTACCTCAGCCTCCCAAGGGGCTGGGATTCCAGGGTGCACCCTGGACACGCCTGGCTCTGAGGGGGTGGCACTGTTAGCATCTGCAGAAGTGAAACAAGCAATCGCGCGCCCGGAAGGGTGGGGAGGGCAGGCACTCAGTGCGGGGAGGCAGAGGGCTGTGGAAGCCACACAGGGTGGCAAACCTCAGGCCACCTTCAAGCCACAGGAGTCTGGGAGCCCACGATGAGCCCACAGGAGACGGGTGGGGTCATGAACCACAGGCAGCAGAGGCTGGAGAAGAAAGGGCAGGAGAGACACAGAGTACAAACCACGAGGGGAGTGCCCCGGCTAGCCGACACGCAGTCCATGCAATCGTTGATCAGTGCTGGCAGACCTGTGGCATGCACTGTGTTTTTCTTTTAAGACAAAAGGTGGTAATGTAGAGCTTTTTTCCAAACGGAAGCCTCAGTGTTCAGGTTTAATTGCAGCGTTGGCACTTTGCGATAAGTAGGTGGGTTTGGGTTGCCGTTGGGTGCTCCCTCTACATGATTCACCGTCACTGTTCTGGACAGCCCCCACAGGCAGGGGTCTGCCTGCTGCTTCCGACAGACAAGAAGCACATTTTAAACACAAATTTGCAAAAGTAGAAGATGGGGAAAACTCCAGGGCCACACTGATAAGCAGGCGGTGCCAGTGTCTGTACCGACTTCAGGCAGTGGGGACTTCAGAGGGGGGCATTACCAGGCCGAGACATGGAGACACGAGAGGGGCTGAGGGGTGAGGGACAGATGCACACCCATGGCCAGCACCAGCCCTGCAGGTGCCCCGAGTGGAAGAGGTGGCGCAGAGCGCGGGGCTTCTCAGCCTCCCTTCTAGAACCCTGTGCTCTCAGTGGGCCACCTTCTGCTCTGGGCCTGACCCAGCCTCGCTGTCCCCACAGGGCTGACCCACCACTGTGGGTGGGTGAGGTGGCTGCACACCACTCCCTGCTAGACATCAGCAACCCACGACAGCAGAGGGCCAGCTTCTTCCCTGGAGTGAGCAGTTTCGCAATTCTGGGTAATTTTCAACTCGGTCCCCTGGCCAGGCTGGCTCTTCTCTCAGTTTGTTTCGGAAAATTCCATATGCTCAGTCAGGGAGCCCTGAACCATGTCTAGGACTGTAGTAGGAATAGATAACACTAAGCCTGCGTGCTCCCAGCGTGCTGCACTGCACAGGGTCGAGCGTGCGCACCACCTGAGCTGCCACTCCCTGAGCACCTGGGACACAGATGGCGACGCCGTGGCTAGTGCTGCCAGTCACCACCTTGGAGGGTTGACGGCGTCCTGAGCCACGTGCCGACGCCTGCCCTCCGCTGTCCAGATGTGGCAGTGAGAGGCAGAGGAGCGAGGATGGGGTGGGAGACGAGGGAGAGGCGCGTCAGGTGAGCAACGCCTGTCCCTTCCCCTCGCTCTGTGCCCTCTGCCTCAGGCGGCCCTCATGTCTAGCCTGCATTCTGCCCTGGTCTCTTCTGGTCCCTGCTGCTGCCAGAATGGCCACGCTGGACAGAGCTGCTCTGAGCCTCAGCCCTCAGGAGCAGCTGAGCTGTGCTGCCCACACAGGCAGAGCACCAAGTGTGGCGGGGCCGGGGGGCGCGCTCTGCGCCAGTGCAAAGCACTGTGGAGCTGAACACTCAGGATGAAAAGGACAAAGCATGGTAGTGAGCCTTCCGTTCACCACATGTGGAAGTAGTGTTTACGTAGATTGGATTAAAAGATGTGATCAAAGTTAATTTCACCTGCCTGCAGTGTGGCTCGTAGAAGGTTCTAGGTGAGTGCACCGTTCCTTCTGGGTGCAACACTGGGTATAGGCAGAAGGTACAGGTCTGCTGGGGGAGGGGCCAGCGGGAATCAGAGCCCATACTTCTGGCATAAAGCCACAGCAAAGGAAGTAGGAGACCTGTTCTGTGGCGTCATTTTTAAGACGCAAGAGAAGAGTCAGGTCCAGCCCGATAGGTAACTGAGGTGCTGGAGTTACCAGGACGAGAAGCACCGTGGGCCGCCGCCGAGCCGGTCTGAGGCCCACAGGTCAGGACCAACCACACAGAACTGGACATAGGACTCTTCACCTCGAGATCAGTCCTCGGAGAAGAGGGGAGGAACAGGCACAGGAACGAGGCCAAAGAGACTTCAGGGGAAGCCTGGCTGTGCGGCGCCCAGCACAGGCAGCCAGCGTCGGATGTGGCCCGGCACCCTGCATGTGGTGTGACCCATGCGTGCTCTGCGTAGAGCAAGTAATGTGGGCACGCAGGGCTGGCTCTGGAGCTCCTGCCGCTCCCGGGTGGCCGACAGTGGGGGAAAGAAGTCAGACACGGAGGGTACTTCCCGCTCATTTCCCTTACCCTTGAGAGACCCAGCATGTCAGTAAGTGCAAGAGTAAAATGAAGGAGAGGGGTAGGGGACGGGGACAGACCTGCTGGAGGGAACGGGTAGGGAGGAAAGTTGTTGGAATGATCAAGCACACTCTACAGACCCACTGATTTCCCAGAACGAAATTATGTGTTAACTGCACACCAACTAAAAAAGTGCTGGAATGAGACGAAGATTGGTGAGGACTTAAGAGCGAGGTCACAGTGTGTGACTGTCTTGGCGGCAAAGCCCTGGGTTCGACCCCCGTACCAAAAAGATGAAGATTCAGCTTGTCCTCTTCACCTTCATGCCAGCTAGGTGATGACTAAGGGAATCAGGCTGCGCTAAAACTTGCAATACTGCCTGAGCCTCCTAGAGGGCTGGGATTATAGGCCTGCCCCTCAACGCCCTGCCTCAACGAAGCTGCTGGCAAAGCACTGGTTACCTGCCAAGGGAAGTGGGGCAGATGCAGCCTGCTGCTGTCTGCCGTCTTGCCGTGTTGGGAAGTCAGGACCCCGCACGCGCACTGCTCTGCATTGTGGCAGTGACAGAAGAAGAAAATCAGCGTCTCCCACGCACCGTGGCCTCACCCCCAGCGCATCCCGTACACCAGTCTCGAGGCTGGAGGTTTGGGGCGATGTGTGCATGTGGAGGGCCGGGCAGGGTTGGACCCCGGCTCCGCACTCACTGTGCCGAGCAGATGACAGGAGACAGGCAAGACTCATTCGGGACAAGCGGGGCGCCATAGGCACAGTTTCGGCTCCAGCATGGAGGCCAGTGCTGTGGGCTGAGTCAGCCGTCCCTCACCGCAGACAAGCACCCGCTTCTACTAGGCAGGTGCCCTACCACTGAGTTCCTCAGGCTGGCCTTGAACCTGCGGCCCTCCTGCCTCAGCCTCCCGAGTACCTAGGGTTACAGGTGTGTGCCACTGTGCACTTAGCCGCCCCCACGGGAGGGGGGGATCACCGTGTGGAGCACACGATCTCCGGTCCTTGCCCAGCTTGTGGCCCTCTGCGCAGCTGCAGGTGTAGGACGCCTCCCCCGGGTGGCAGAAGTGTTGGCACCCATCGGGCCTCTCTGGATGACATCGGTTCTTAGCTGAGAAGGGACAGGCATCTCATCATCGCCCTCCATCCCAGCGTCCCTGTGTGAAGCTCCCCACGCTCACCCACCCTAAGCACAGAAGGGGCAGGGCGCACACTGTTTGTCCTGAGGAGACACCGCACCGTGCTGCCCGTGTGCGTGGCCACTCGCAGGCCTGCTTCCTCAGCCACGATGTCCCCTTTGGGGCTCTCTGAGTTGCCTCGTGGAGAAGGGGTGGGACAGGCAGGGCTCCGCAAAGCTCTGAGGGGAGGCTGGGGCACCGGGAGGGATGCGGCCAGCCCCTTCTGAGCACCCCCCGGGGATGCCAAGGAGATGAAGTGGAGACAGGGCTCAGAGGAGGTGGCCCCGAGTGCAAAGCAGGCTCTGTCTGCCCGAGCACATCGTGCCACGCCCTGGATGCCTGTCCGCTGTGACTCTGCGTCCGCCCTCTGAGGTGCCCGCCACTGTGCCACCACCGGCCGGGCGGGCGGCCGGAGAGGGCTTGAGCCTGAGAACCCCCGAGGGCCCTGCTCACCCAGCGCACAGGTCCTGCCCTCAAAGCCTGGCGAGCAGGTGCAGGTGAAGCTGCGGATGGTGTCGTGGCACGAGCCGTTGTTGAGGCAGGGCTGGGAGATGCACGGGGAGCCGCCTGAGGGACAGGGATGGGCTCTGCTGGGTGCCCATTTCCCTTGCCCTCCATCGACCTCCAGCCTGAGGTCTGAGGACCCCAGCGCTTCCTGTCACACCTCCTCCCCCACCCCAGGGCCGCCCTCCCATGGTCCTGGGCTCTGAGACGCTCTTCTTGGGGCACGGGGGACAGCGTTCACCTGGCCTGATGTGGCGTCCTGCTCCCTCTCCCAGGAAGGATAGGAAGCTACTCACCCCTGTACTCTCTCCAGAATGCACCCTGGGGAAGAAAAATGCAGATAAGTCACAAAAGCAAGCCTTTTCTGTTCCCAGAAGACAACGCTGGTTGAATTCACCTAGCAGCAGAATATTATGGGGAACAAAGATTGAGCTAATCTTTACATCTATTTAACAGCCTACTGATTTCTGTCGAATTCATACTTACTTAACGCGAATGTAACCTAGTCTGCTCCTTTTTCCACTCCCTGTCTGTATCCTGGCCCAATTGAGGAAGGTGACAGCACATGACAGGGACACAAACTCTGCCCTCACTCTGTCACCTCCCTCCCAGGGCAGTCCCATGGCCCCTGCTCACAGCGCTGGCTGTGCACTGGAGATGCACATCGATGGTTTTTTTTGTGGGGTAGTATTGGGTGGGGGCATCTAGGCATCAGGAGCCCTTGATGGGACAGGCGTGTGACCCACACCATCCCTTGCCACCTTCGGCCCCTCGCCCCTGGAAGGACCTCAGGAGCACTGGACCAGGGCAGCTTCCCTTACCCAGAGTTTGGAAACTGAAATTCAGGACAGAACCCTCCGAAAATGCTTGATCTTTTCACTTGCTTATGACTTTCTCTTCTCCACGTTAAAGATGGGCAGTTTCAGAAAAGTCCCCTTGGGACATGCATTTGAGAGACTGTAATTTAAGTGTTGCTACCTTTATATGTGAAGATGAAAATTTTTTTCAGGGCTGTGCATCAAACCGAGGACAAGCACCCTACCCCGAACCCAGCCCTGCTGGGAAAGGTATTGAGTTTGTGCTGGTGCATTCTGAAACGACTTTGTGCAAATATTCAGCCTCAGGATTCAGACCTGTGTCTGCTGCTAAGCCTGTGCATAACTGAATGGCAAGTCTGACCAACGTTATTCAGAGTAGCCCTGCAGTCACGTGTGCGAGACGATCGTTTACTTCGTTCAAAGTACAGATTATGAGAATTTTCTTTCTATGTAGAGAGGAAGATGATTATATTTTCAAGTGTTTTCAGTGCTGGGGTGGAAGCCAGGGCCTCAAGCAGGCCAGGCGAGTGCTGACACTGAGGGGGGCCCCAGCCCGTCCTCCTCAATCCCTTTGACAAGGAAGCACGGGGTAGCAGTGATTCCGCCCACAGGCTGGATCCCCTTGCTTCTGAGTCCCATTCCTCTACTAACTGCTCACGCTTACCTCTGAGGAAGAGCTGTCTCAAGCTGCTGCCCTGTTTTTTTATTGCAAATAAAATAAAACGAGTTTCATTTCTGGTGAACATTAACGCTATTATCTATTTTTGGTGCAGCCTAAGACATTTCCTCTTCCCTTAGGTTGGACCCAAAGCCCCAACCCGACAGAAGTGGAGCTCTAGGCGGGCATTTGTACCGTGGCGGCATCATCTTCAAACACTTCTCTGGCCTCTTCATGCACACAGATCTCTTCGTAACATTCTTTCTCCAAGTTGCCCTCGAAGAGCTCCTCCAGGATGTAGGAGCCAGCACGCTTCCACCTGAGCAGAACTTGGTTTGCGCTTGAGGCCGGAATGAACACTGCGTGGCAAGGGAGGAGCGCAGGGCGCGTCAGCAGGGGCCCCGAGCGTGGGGATGCTGCATCCTGCGGGGCCCTGTCAGCCTCGAGGGCAGCACCTGGCCTGGTCACTGTCTCGAGGCCGTATGGCCACTTCCTGTTTGCTGGGTGTGGGCAGCCTTTGTGAATCTGGACACTGGTGTCTTATGGATGGAGATTCCAGGGCCCAGAGAGGCTGGACTCTGTCAACCTGGAGCTGGAGAAGGTCACCACCCTGCCCACTTAAACTTCACTGGGTCCTGGTACGTTCTGATCTTGCTGTTGCCAAAACTGAAGTCTGGGCTGCACCTTGCTATAGCCACACGGCCACCAAGTGTGTCGCACGGGGGGATGAGGCCTCGGAGCAGCAGGACACGGCTGGTCATGCACTCATTGCCAAGGGCTTGGACTGCTGTGACGTGTCACTTGGCACAATGCAGCTATCGGGGGAGGTGCTGAGACCACTGAGATCTGAGACCCCCATCTAGCTGCTCCCTGCTATCCTGAGCCGTGGCCTCTTAACATTTCACCTGGGCTCAGGGAACCTCCCAGCCAAGCTGAGATCCTCTTTGGCACCCTGTCCTGTCCTCCAGCCTGGGCATGTCCCCATCCCTGTGTCCTGTGTTCCATCTCAGCATGGCTAGGGAGGCCCAAGCCCACAGTACCATTCCCACCAACTCGTTGCCAAGGACATTGAGACCCAGAGGCCCTTGGGAGGGAGAAACAGCAAGGCTGTGCCTCAGGGCTGCCTGCTCCTGAAAAGCATCCTCTGCGACCGACTGGCCAGTGCCTACCTGACAGTTCTGCCTGGTGGGAGAGGAGGAGGAGGACGAGGCCCTGGAGCAGTGGGACGCGGCCGGCCATGCTGATCAGAGCTGACCCAGCAGGGCCAGATGATCAAACAGCCAAAGTCCAGCCCTGGGAGGTGCAGGAGAGACAGGGAGGTCAGGAGGGGCCCCGTCCACAGGCACTGGGACCACACAGAGGGGCTCACGGCCAGAGAAACTCATGTGGACAGGAGGAATGGGACAGACACTCAAGGCACCTTCCTTTCTGGGCCTTCTGTGTCCACCAGCAGATGTTGGGCAGCCCCCAGGAGACCAGTGGGGAATCACAGAAAAGAGGGATGGGGAGCCCCGCAGAGGGCCAGTGGCAAGACCAGGTGACAGAGGATGCTGGGCAGGAGCTCCAGGCTGTGTGTCCCAGGACCCTCTGGGGGCTGTGTGTCCAGGTGCTGGCCCAGGTGCAGCTGTGAGCAGGTGCAGTGATGTGGAGCCTGCACACAGGAGAGAGGGTGCTGTTGACAATCTCTGTGGGACTGGAGGGGCTACTCAGGGAGCTGCCTGGGGCGGAACCCTGGACACAGGTACAGCCCCTGTGGGCCCTGAAGAAGAGTGGGCCTGAGGCCAGCATGGGGTGGGGACAGGGCTGGGGCGCAGCTCTGTGTGAGGAGCAGCTCGCTGTGGGCTGTGGGGTGTGCAGGCGGTGGGCAGAGGACCTCTGGCTGGAGAGGGAAGCAGGCTCTCCATGGAGAGTGAGGGTCTGGCTGTGGAGCAAGCAGTCTGTGCCAAGCCTTCAGCTCCTCAGCACCAACGTCCCCCACCAGCTGGGAAGAAACCCTGAAATGGCAAACTGCAGCTCAACTGGGCACACCAGTGCCAGCGCTGTGCCATTCCTGGTCCCGCTGTCTGTGGGATGCTGGTCCCTGAGCTCCTCTGGGTGGACAGCCCGCGGCTCTTTCTGTAAAGTAACTGCTGTGTCCTCACCACCTGTGCTTATGGGACCTTTAGAGCCCACAGTGCCTGAGAAGTGAGTCACGAGCAGATGACACAGAATCACAAGTGGAGCTTTGCTTGGATGGGACCTGTGCTGCATCCCAAGGTGGGGTCAGCACCCCAGAAGGCGCCCTTCAGGCCCGGCCAGTCAGTGCAGGGGAGTGCTGCATAAAAAGGAAGCCTCAGGCCCTTGATTGGCCCAAATTCAGGCCTGCAGATTGGCCCAAATTCAGGCCTGCAGATTGATCCAAATTCAGGCTTCCTGTGATTGATCCAAGCTTGAGCCTGTTGATTGGTCTGGGTTTGAGCCTACTGATTGGCTCCTATTCATTTCCATTGCTCAGTTCAAATTCGAGCGGGGCAGATACCTCCCAGAGCAGGTGTGATGGTCCAGCATGGTGGCAGCTGTCACGGTGGTGGCAGTGAACAGAACACTGGGAGATGTGGCAGTTTGATGGACAGCTATTATGTCACAGTGAAAAATGGGGTCGAAACAGGGAACACTGGAGAGGGCCGTGCTCATCACAGCTGACTGGAGGCTGTTGACATTAACAACTGGCTGGGACCCTCCTCCATCCCTGCTGCATTCCGGGTTGTTTCTCCACTTCCTCAGCCTATGGAGGTTGGGGGGAGGGCACCAAGGGTGACAGCTGACTGCACCTCCTGTCAGAGCCAAACAAGTTAACCCTGGGGGTGGTGGGAGGAGCCTAAGGCGGGCTGTCCTGTCCTCAGGGGGCTATGGGGAGTGGCAAAGGGGGGTGCGACAGCTGTAGGCACAGGGAGGAGGGAGAATGTCTGCAGACACCAGCAACTGAGCAGTGGGCATGTGTACCAATAAAGCTTTATTTGCAAGAGCACGCGGTGGGCTGTATTTGTCCCAAATGTGTATACCCCAGATCTGCTGCCCCAGAGGAAGCCCCTTAGGCTGAGGTCAGAACTTGATGTTTATTTGCAGGTGTTAGGAAGCCACTAGAGGGGGCAGGAGAGAGACGTTGGGAGCTTTGCATCCTGAAAGGACTGGTGGCTCCACTGTGGGGGGCAGAACCTTCCAGAGGAAGCTGGAAGGAGGGAGAGAAGTCCTGGGAGGCCCTGGCCCGGTTGGGGAGGAGTAAGGTGCCACATGGCTGTGGGACTCAGCTGGGTCCCTGGCAAAGGAACTCGTGGTGACACACAACTTGTGCGCCTGTGTGGGAACCGTGGTCTCCAGGCACAGTGAAGAAGCGAGGTTTGGGGACACAGTGAGCCTGAGCTGTCCAGGAAGGGTCCTGGTATGGTGTGGGGTCAGTTAGGGACCGGTTCCTAGGGAGACGGCGGGAGAGAGGGATGGTGGTGACCAAGGGGTCTGGAGCGGCCATTAGAGTGGAAACAGAAAGACACACTGACAGCTTTAGGGTATGAAATTTGCTTTAAAAGTTGGAAAAAAGCCATTAAAGCTTATCAGTACTGGGTGAGTCAAATAACTTGGAAGCTGGGATGGAAGTTAATAATGCTTGGGGTTGGTCAGGTAGGTGACAGCCAGCCCAGCAATCATCACATGTCCCTCCCGAGAAAGGTCGGTATCATGGTTTGGGGCTTATTTTTGCAAGGGGAAACAATAACATACAGAACACATATTTTATAAGATAATTTATAATAGTCACCCAAAGAATGATACACAAACAAGAGAGTCCAGGAAATCTGACCACACTCTAAAGACCCAAGAATCCAGCTGAGGCCCTGGATCCCACGCCAATGTCCTGCATGAGTTCAGCTGAAGACCTAGAGCCCATAACAGTGCCTCCCAGGAGTCCACCCGGAGGCCTAGAGCCCATAATAATATCTCATGCAGGCCTGTTTCACGGATCTGCGCTGGAAGGTCCAAAGGTCAGTGGTGGAATCTGGAAAGTCTGTGCCAGTGGGATGAAGGATCTGTGCTAGCAGGCTGAGGGATCTGACTGAATCCAGGAAGTGACACGCAAAATAAGAACCAAAGCTCCCCTGAAAAGTACCACAGCCATCCTCAGCAGCAGTGAATTTCTGAGCTCTTCCAAGGATCAGGACAGCTGAGTTCCCATCAGGAAAGCCAGTGCAGCAAGCTTCTCCAGGAGACTGGAAGTGTACCATCTTCCCCTCCAGAGCCAGGAAGTGATGCTCAAAGTGAGGACCAGAGCTCCCTCAAAGTGAACTGAAGCTATTCTCAGTGCCAATGAGGTCCTGAGCTCCTCAGAGGATGAAAACAGCCAAGTTCATCAGGAAAGCCAGCATGACAAGCTCCTCCAAAAGAACCAACAGCTCCCTACAGCTTCTACCAGCTCCCAGCAGTCCTTTCTCAGCTCCCGATAGCCGTACTTCTTCTCCATTTCTGCCTCTTATGCTGCTGGCAACAGTCTCCAGGTGGGCCTCCCACACCTGGCACCATGCTTACTCAGTTCAGCTGGGGGTTATAAGTTGACCACCAGTTGTCAATCTACTACAGTCGGGGCAAAGGTCCTCCTGGAAATTCACACACTAAAAATGCTCCTGCTGGATAATTTCAGAACCATGAAGAGCTGCTTCAAAACAGGAAACCAGGGCTTGGGGTTCTGAGGAGTGCTGCCCCATGCCCCTGGTGCAGGCGCCTCCCTGGGTGACTGGCCTGCCCACTTGGCTGCCAGGCCATGACATGAGGACTGGGCCACGTCATCCACATCTTGTCCCTCACAGTTCTGGAGGCCAGAAGCCTGAGAACAAGGAGCCAGGATGTTCAGACCGGCCCTCCCGCTGCACTCTCACGTGTGGGAGAGGAACAGCGCCCCCTCCTGGTGAGGACAGCACCAACCCTTGGTGCAGACTGTGACCCCAAGACCCCTCCTCCCCTCCTTGGGCCCCTGCAAGGCCCCACTGGGATGGGGATCAGGTTTCAAAATGCGGGTGTGAGGGGTGACCAACATTCTGAAATGTGTTGTGCAGTGCTTTGCTTTGTCTCTTCTGCCATCTCCGTGACAGCAGTTTTGGGCCAAGCACCCTGCAGCGAGTCATGGCAGTTAGGCTTGAGCTGCTAAGCCGTCCTGAGTCCTCACCGAGGGCCTGCTCCTCCAGAGAGACCCACAGATGCAGTGCCCCGAGGTCTGGGACGGCTGCAAAGGTCTTCCTGCCTGTGAGCTGTGGGCTCCTTCCTCTGTCCTGCTCTGTGTGTCCTCTGTGCAGGTCCCCAGCTGGAGCTGTTGACAGGAATGTGCAGAACTGGACATAAGCACCCCTCCCGCGTGTGACCCTCTCATCCTCGTCCCATGGCCTCACTGTGTCCTGAAGTAGCCACTATGTCTCCAGCACTCGGACCTCCCTTGTGTCCCAGCGTCTCTGAACTTAGCGGTGTCTCACAGTCAGTAGCGTCCTGATGCTGCCCTGGGGGAGCCAGTTCTTCCTGAACGTATTTATGTTTTGTTGTCCCCTCCGCTGCTGCCACCTGGATTCACTTTCAGTGAAGCGGACTCCCCTGAGGACCCAGGTGTCCTTCCTCCGCTGTTGGTTTGTCCATGTCCTAGCCACTTTCTCAAGGCTGGGACACAGTACCTGACACCCACCACTTACGGGGCAGAGGTCATTTGGGATCACAGTTTTGTAAGGGCATACTTATAGTACAGCAAACTTGTAGGTGTATTATGGCAAAAGTTAGAAATCAGTTAGGCCTGCGACCACAGGCTCCTGCTGCATGTCATGTAGCTAGCTTACTGCATTCATTTAGCCTTGACTGTCTAGGCCCAGACGTTGCTCCTTAACAATGTGCGGGGTCAAACTGACTGTGTCCAATTTGTGTTTTAAAAACATGCAGCGATTCCAACTTGCTTCAAGACTTCAAGGATGTCATGTTTTGGGAAGACTGGCCCGGTCAAGAACACTTTCAACTCTACCTGCTCTTCTCAGACCCGCTCCCTCCCAGAATGTCCCTGTACAATTCGGCCTGACAACATATGACATAATTCTAGTATTCCATGTAACCAATCATGTAATAACCTGCTATTAGCTTTGTACTTCCCTCTGGAAACCATATTTAAATTGAGCACAAACCTGACTCTGGGTTGGTGATTTGAGCCTGTGGGTTCCCCAGCCTGCTAGTGTAATAAAAGTTGCCCTCTGAGTCCTCAGTGCAAAGAGTCTTCCACTTGGTTTGATACTGGTTTTCTGCAACATTTCACATCCACAGTCAGCTGGCCCCAAGGCAGAAAGGTGTGGTGGGAGGGCCTGGTGGAGGAGCGCTGCTCGCGGCATGGAGAACAGGAAGCAGAGAAAAGAGAGGAGCCAGAAGGGAGACAAACTGTTCCAGGCCACGCCCCGGGGACTGCCTCCTCCTACCAGACTGCACTTCGACAGCACATCGGTGACCCCATCAGTGGGCCAATCCATTGATGAGTATGGCACCCCATGATCCAATCACCTCTCCAAAGCCCTGCCTCTGAGCTCAGGAAGGTTTGGGGTATTTCTGATCTACACCATGACAATCAGTCAACATGAGCCCTGGGCTCCCTCAACCAGGGCCTTGCCTCACTACCCTGAGGACTGTGGGAGGCACAGCAGGACACACAAGAAAAGCTGCATGGGAACACAGCTGGGGTCTTGCGTTCCACTGTCTCAGCCAAAGTGGCGAAAGTAACCAGCAGGCCTGTGAGCTGTCAAAGGCTCCACAGTCAGGTTTGGGTGGAGCCATCCCCACCTTCCTTGACCGTTTGTGGAGTGAGGCACTGGGTCTGGGCTGAACTTGGGGGCTTCGGGCTGCACTTGCTCAGCCTTGGCCGCTGTCCCTGTCTGGAGGCGGGGCCCCATGATGCAGAGAGGCCTCGCAGGGCTGGAGCACCCTGCTAACCCTGATGTTCAGGGTTGGGGTCTGGGCTGTCTTTTTTGGTTTTGTTTTGTGATCGCTGGTGTTCTGAATGTATTTTTCACTGTGGCGAAATGCATGTAACAAAAGGGTCCTGAGCTGACCCACCTTGGATCTTTCCAAAGTCCACCCTTTGGTCCTCTGCGGCCGCTATTGCACACACACAGGCTGGGTTTCTGTTTGTTTTTCTCTGGGAACTGGGGCCTGGGTTGGTGCTGACCCTGTACTGGGCTTGGCAGTGTCTCAGGAACTCTTGTTTTAGGAACAGCCAAAGTCCATCTTGGTGGCCTGAGGCCAGGACTGGCTTCTCCTGACCCTTTGGCCAAGGCTGGGGCTTTGCCCTCCCATGTGAAGAGGGCGCTGGCCCTTGACCCTCTTCCTCCTCGGACTCCAGGAGCAACTTTGTGCCCTTGGTCTGTGCCGAACCTGGGTGGACAATGGGACCCATGGGGACTGGAGGCCAGGGCTGTGCTGGCCGTGGGAGACCCTGCCGTGGGGATGCCGTGGATCAGGGAACCCTCCCTCCTAACACTCTGGCCACAGTGGCCTGCTGCCCACATAGGGCTCTGACACACAGCCCCTCTTTGGGGACAGCCCCCATGCAGCTCCTCTTGGTCTTCTGAGTCCCATCCATGTCCACCCTGCCCAGTGGGACCTCCTCCTCCTCCTGTCAGGCCTGCATACCTGCAGCAAGGACCACCACTCGCACACTGACCAGGACATTCTGTGCAAACAGTGTGGCCTTGAGCCCTAGGCTGGTGCTCGGCAGTGAGGTACGGCCTCTGAACGCTGGACACCCTGACACGTGGTCTGCACTGGCACAGCTTGCTTTGTGGCGCTGTCTTTCGGCGCTCCTGTCCCTGGGCCCCTGTGGCAAGCGCTCCTCATGTGTGCGTGCCCAGCAGGTGCCAGCGGCCCTTTTCTCACCACAGCCGCTGGCCTCCCTCGGTCTCATCTGATATCGTGGGCCCACCCTCTGGTCTGCCTGATGTGGACACTTTGGGGAGCCCAGGCTGCCCTCAGTCTGTATTACCTGATGTCCCCCACAATGAGGTCAGGCTAAATGCTGTGCTCAGTGAGACCCCAGTGTCGGCCTCCTACCATGAGAAGTCCCAGTGTGTGGCATCAGGGGCAGAGCACTTGAGCATTTGGTCCCCAGGTTCCGTCCCCCAGCGTTTGTCCCGTCAGGCTGACTTTGGCTGTTGTCATTAATGGCTCCTTTCACGGTGCAGCTCTGAGGCCCTCGGGGAGCATCTCCTCTCACTGATTCTCGTCCCAGCGGGGACTCACATGGCGCTCGCCTGCCCCGGGCTGCTGTGACTGCCACGAGGCTGATGAGACCGAAGCCCTGCCCTGTAAGATGGCTGCAGAAAGCCTAGCTGTGGATCTCTCCTCTGCGGCCCGGGTGCCCCTCCCTGAGACAGAAGGCACCTCGCTCCCAGGGCTGTTTCCTCGACTTCTACCTGCAGGCTGGGTGCAGCAGGGCTCGGTGCCCCTCAGAGCTCTGCCGCTGTGGTGATCCCCGGCCACACATCCCTTGCGCCTCCTCAAGGGTCCGGCTGCCGAGGAGCTGGAGCAGTGGCAGGGGAGATGGGCCTTGGCTGTGTTGTCGCCAGCTCAGCCCAAGGCTCAGCTGAGAGAACCAGGCCTGGTTCCTTACCTGCTGCCCTCCACTCTCAGCCTCTTACCCCCTCATCCCTGTCCAGACACCAGCCCTGACCTGGGCAGCTCCCAGGCATGGGGTGATGAGGCAGAATCAGTGTGCTGTTTTCCTGAGGACGGACGTTGCTAAGGTCAAACAGGCGCTGACAGTGCAGAGATTGCCACCCACCAAGCCCCAGACTCTCAAAGCCGGTGAACAGCCCTATGTCCCCATGTCCTGCCTGTCCACAGGGGCTGGGACCCTGTTCTGGATGGGCCACAGCAGGTACTGTTTGTGCCCTTTGGGCCGCGAGGTTCCCCTGTCCTGTCCCCACTGGGTCCTGTTTCCTCTCTGTGCCCAAGATGCACATGTTCACACATCTGTCTGTGACAGGGGCCAGCTGGGAAGGGCACAGACGGTGACAGACAGGGCGTTGACTTAAGGCCCTCTCTGGATCCACACGACCTCTGCTCCCTAGGAACAGTATCCTGGCTGGTTTGCTTCGGGGACCTGGATGGGGCCCCGTGTCACGGCGGCCTGGATGATGTCTCCAGAGCCCACATGTCCCCCACTGGAGGGCTGTGTGCGTGGCACAGGTGAGCAGGTGGCAGGTGCTGGATGCCTGAGGCCTCTGGGGATGTGGACTGCAGTCCTCGGACCCGTTTTCTGGGAAGCTGAGAACAGTCCACACGGATTTCTCCTAACCTTGCAAAATCCGTTTACAAAACACCATGTGGTGCTGGGCTGTTGGGAGCTTTGCACAAGAACTTTTAAACTTTGCTTAGTGAAGTGATGCAAAAGCAAACTGTGCCAGGACTCTGGGAATTGCTGGGTAGGTCCATCTGGGCAGCTGGTTCTCTCTGCCACAAGCACGCAGGCTTTTTCCACCACCAAGCTCAGGGCCTAGGACAGTGCTAAGTCAGCCCAGTACAGGGGTCGGGGGCCCTCACACCCTATCACAAGTACCCTTGCTCAGGGGCCCAGTGGGGTGCCAGGAGGTTCCAGGAACTGACAGGGACCCATTCCCAGACTGAAAGGCAGTGCCTGGACCGAGGCTGGACCAGGATGTGCAAAGACTCTGCAGGGGCTCAACTGAAGCCAGGGCAAGAGCCCAGCACTGCTGGCCAAGGTCACCACCCAGGGGGAAGGCTGACTGCTAAGGGGCAGGGGCTGAGCAAGCCCGCATGCAGCCCAGCTAGCGGTGCTGAGCCCCAGGCTCCCACCTGGGACTCATGCCTTGCCCTAGTCTTAGGCGCGGGCCTTGGTCTGAACTCCTAATCACAAATCGAACTTGGCTGGCTGAGAAAAGCTGTCAGGTCCCTGAAGGACAGAATCAGCCTGGGGCAGGGATGGCTCTATGCCAGCTAGAACAGAGGCCTTACCCGGTACAAAACTCGCACCCCTGTGAGGGTCTCCAGCCTGGTTTGAGACAGGGACAGGCATGGAAGGTCAGCCAGGCAGGAAGGGCTCTAAGTACTACAGTGGGCGGCTGCCCTGGGAGTGGCCCTGCCCAGGAACAGTGTCACGCAGAACCGGACACAGCCTCGTGGGTGCCCAGAGTCGGTTCCTTTAATGGGCAGGCGTGGTTGGCGCTGGGGTCTCTGGCCTGGGGGGCACCTTGGCCCGCATGGACTTCTCGATCCACTTGAGGAAGTTAGTGACCTTGGTGTAGATCCCGAACTTCCCTTTCCTCGCGCACCCTTCTCCCCAGCTGACGATGCCAGTCACGTAGTAGGTGCCCTTGAACCGGGTAACATGGGGGCCACCACTGTCCCCCTGGCAGGTGTCCTCCAGCTTGGCATCATAGCCGGCACAGAACATGTTCTGCGTGATGGCGAAGCCTGTGGACAGCTTGCAGGTGTTGCGGTCCACGTAGGGCACCTCCAGCATCTTGAGGATGCTGGACTGACGGCCCTTCTCGTGTGTGCGCCCAAACCCGCTCACGATGCCTGTCTTCTGTGTCATCAGCGTGGCCTCAGCCCAGTCCTTCTGTGGCAGGCAGGCGGGGGCCACGTTCATGCGGAAGGTGATGGGCGTCTTCAGCTTGAGGACTGCGATGTCGCAGTCGTATGTGTGCGGGTTGAACTTGTTGTGCTTTATGACCACCTCCACCTCGTGTGTCACCTCATTGCCCTCCTCCTCCTCCATGTTCCGCTCACCTGCAAGGGGCAAAAACCCATGAGGTTGGTGCCCTGGGGCCTAGCACCTGCATAGTGGACACCTTAAAGCAAGTTATTTATTTACTTTTGTTAAACAATAGTATATGGTCATGTTTGAAGCCTTAAAAACATAAAAAAAAATGGAAGGAAGCACAAACTGCAGCCTCCAGCCTCCCCCAGCCTCCCCGCTCCACCGAGTGCATGTGTGGGACGCGGTCTGCGCACTCCTCATGCTCTCAGCAGACACCTGAGTGGGCACTGAGCAGGGCCGTGCAGGTCTCCACCGGACTCCACCAGCAGCCCCGATGCCTGTGCCAGAGCCCAGCGCATCAGACCTCAGGCTCTCGGTGGAAAGGAGAATGCTGGTAGCTTACTCACAGCGAAATTTATTCTACTTAATTACACACTGTGATGTTAACATTTTGAATGTACAGGGTTAAGTGAGGTATAATATTAAAACTAATGTTACCTCTCTCTATGCTTATTAGACGTGTACTAGAGAACCTGAGATTACAGGAAGTTTCACATCACATCTGTGGCTCGCACTGGGTTTTCATGGGATGGCTCTAGGGTCTACTAGAGAGAGGTGGTGTGGAGAGGGAGGCCAGGCAGCTCCTGGAGAAAGGACTCCAGGGCAAAGGGTGTCCGGTGGGGCGTGGAGCCCCAGGGCCTCCACACAGGCCCCCGCTGCGTAGGGGCTGGGAGTGCTCCGCGGAGTCTGCAGCTGCCCAGCCTCTCCCCCGTCCTTCGGTGAGTGTCCCCAACAGACCATCCATTCCTGTGGTCCTGGCCAGGAGACAGCCATGGCTGTGTCCCCTGGGCCCGAGGGCAGGTGTCACTTACCTACCCTCACCGTGAACCGCTTGGCTTGGCGGAGACAGTGGGCCGCGGTGAGGACGTAGTGCTCATTGAGGATGGTCCCCCCGCAGAACCCCTTGTTGTTCTCGTTGACAAGCAGAGCCTGCAGGAAATGTCTGTGTCACCAACCAAGGGGGGCCTGCATCCGGGTGGCCTGCCAGGCTACCCCAGGCCACGGGCCTCTCCTCTACCCTGCCCTGCTCTGAGCCAGACTCAAGCCTCTGGCCTCTGCTTCCAGAGCCCACCCCAGGTTTGGGGGCCATACACTCTCCCTCCTACTCGAACCCTCCTTTCCATCCCAGGACCTGTTGATGCCCACGGGCACCCGCCGTGGCTGGGACCTGGATGGTGAAGGCTGCAGGCCTGTGGTTTCACACCCTGTACACCCAGCACCCAGGCAGTGAGCTCCCTCAGCGAGGCCCAGAGAGCCAGTGCGGGGCGGGCACAGCCTGGCACTGCAGCTCCTTGGAGGAGGAGCCCATTTGGCCTGCAGTGGCCAGTGGGCTGCTGGTGGCCGGTGTGTCAGGCCTGAGTGAGGGCTGCTGGGGAAAAGCCACACACCTAGTTAAACCGAACTGGACTGCAAGCCTCTCTCACACAAGCACGTCCCATGTGGTATTTGAGACGGGCTCACTTAGAAATCATTCATTATTCATGTGAAATTCAAATGTAACTAGAAGTCTCATGTGTTCATTTTCTAAATGTGGCAGCCCTTATCCAAACTAGAAATCAGTGAGTTTTTTTTTTTTTTTAATTCAAACATAAATAGATGTGCTTTTCTCTAAGGTACTTTTTGCCTCTAGGATTTAGATGTCTGGGTTAAAAAAAAATGACCAAATCAGAAATGAATCAAGGACTGTGAACCTTCCTTCCTCACTCCACGGACAGGTGCCTGCTTGGGGCTGCGGCTGGCCGCCAGGGTCCCCTCCTTCTGGGGAGGTGGGCTGTGCCTGTGCCCCGTTTGTCCAGGCACAGGGGATGGGTGGTGAGATGTCCTAGCTGCCTGGGCACGGAGTTCAGGGCTCCCGAGGCTGCAGCAGGGTGCGGGGGCTCTGTCCCGGCTCAGACCTGTGCTGCCTGGGATGCTGACCTCCAGGGAACAGGCCACCTCTCCCCTCCCCAGGCTAGGGCCCCCCATGCTGCCAGTGTGGCCCAGTTCAGCCCAGTCACCTGCCAGGGGCACTCCCCCTCTTTGCAGTCCTGGCCGCCCACAATGCGGCCGAGGTCGCTGCCTGCTGTCCCCGGGTCGGAGCTGTTGAAGTAGAGGAGGTCAGAAGGGTCCTCTGTGGCGCTCAGCTCATCCAGAAGGTCCTGCTCCAACACAGGTGCCCTCTCACTGCTGTTGGTGACCTGTGCCACTGACCTCCTCCTGCGTCCCCGTCCTGCAGTGAGCTTCCCGCACGGGAAAACCTCTGCAAGAACAAGGTGGCTCTAGTGAGGCACTGTGCTTGTGCCCCTCTTCCAGGAGGGCAGGGCCGAGCTGGTGGAGGATTCGGGGGCTGCGCTGTCCTCCTGGGCTTGGGATGGTTTCCCTGCAGGTCTCTGCACTGTGCTGGGGATTGGAGAGCAAAGGAATGCGAGGTTCCCATTCAGCTCATGTGTCGATAGAGGATGGAGCTGGAGTTGACCCCAGGCTCCTCTGGCTGATCTCTGCCCAGGCCATCTCTCCCCACAGCAGTCGGCCCTGCCCCATCTGACTCACCTCGCTGTCACAGCCCTAAATCCCAGGCCTAAGCCTCCCTGCAGAGGTCAGTGCCAGGGTCCTTGCAGGCTGGTGATCAGGGATACCCGTGGCCAGGCCTGGGCAGTGCCACATCCATCCCAGGACCTGGGTGACACTGTTCGCCCATTCCGCAGATGAGGAAACAGATTCCAGTGGATTTAGGTCCCCGGGATATCGGTCTGTTTCCATACCCAAGGTCTTCGTATTTGAACAGCACCACCCAGCACTGCCAGCTGGGTGGCGAGCCCTGCAGTGCAGCCAGCTGCCTCTTACCTGTGGAGACACAGGACTTGCCGTTGTCACTCAGGGTGTAGCCCTTGGCACAGGAGCACACCACCGAGTTCTGCACCTCCTGGCAGAACTGCTCGCAGTCGCCATTGTCCAGCCGACAGAGCTTCCGGGTGACTGTGAGGAGAGGGCAAGCTGCAGTGCGCACAGGCCAGCTGGTGGGCATACCGCAGCCTGGGGAGGTGCCCACGGAGCAGCCCCAGCAGGAGCAGGACAAGACCCAAGCTCAGGGCCCACGTGAGGGACACAGTGCCCAGCAGGGCTCTGCGCTGGCCCTTAAGGAACCTGAGCCCACCCCCGGGGTGACATTTCTGGAGGGCACAGTGTGGTGGGAAGCAGCAGGCTCTTGGGGACCAGGGGCTGGCACAAGCTAGCGTGGCCTCAGAGCCCCTCCTTCTGAGGTCAGCAGGTTCTCTGTGACCACCATGAAGACAGGGCCTAGTGGCCTGGTCCCTCCATGGATGCCAGCCCCCAGCACTGCTTGTGATGCTCTCACAGAAGACACTATTCCCTCCAAGTTGCAGCCGCTCCTTGGTTGGTGGGTCCAGAATGACCCAAGGGCAGCCTCGATGCCTCTGCTGAAGGCCGTGCCCTGCTGTCCTGTGGCTGCCTGGAGCCCTATGCCTTCCTTTCACTTGATTGCCAACCAGCAAATAATTCTGCAGTGCTTGTCTTATGGTTTAGATCTAAAATGGCCCCAAAGCTTTGTGCGTTTGGATCATGGGGGGGTTATTGCAGCCTGCTGTTAGGAGGGAGGCCTAGCTGGAGCCAGGTCACTGGGAACTTGGTCAGGAGGGCGAATCTCCCTCGCCCATCCTCTCTTTTCTCTCCACTTCCTGTTCACCGTGAGGCGAGTGGCGCTCCTCCACCAGGCCCCTGTGCCATTCTGCTTCTGCCTGGAGCCAGCAGACCACGCAGGGCCTAAGACTTCTAAAACGTGAACCAAAATAAACCTCTTCTCCGTTAAGTTCACGTGTTAGGGGTTTTATCTCAACAACAAGGACAGTGATTAACACAACCCACCACAGCCCAGACGGTGTACCAGGTGTTACCGAGCCAACCACAGCCCTGCTATGGACATGCCAGCTGGTGGCTCTGGTGTTATGGTTTGTCTAGATGTCCCCCTACAAGCCTCATCTGGTCATAGAGTTTTTTGGAGATGGCCGAATCTAGAGCTTATGATTGATTTGTAGTGCAATGTTGGGATTATAAGGGACATATCTCTTCTCTCTCATTCTCTCTCTCTCTCTCTCTCTCATTGTTTTTGTTGTCTTCTGCTGCCATGATCTATTGCCCCTCTGTCATGTGCCACTCTGCCTTGGAGGCAGCCGATTATGGACTGAAAACTTTACAAACTGTGAGCCAAATAAACCTTTCCTCCTTTCACTTTGGGTGTTGGTATTTTGTTGCAGCAATGAGAAAAGTAAGACAGAATTTGGTACCAGAGGAGTGGGATCACTGCTGTGACTATACCTGGCCATGTGGTTCAGGAGCCTTTGGGAATGACTTGTGGGAAGAGTTTGGAATGATTTGGAGATGCTGGTTGAAAAAGTACAGCTGTAGTGCCTTAGGCTGTTCGGTATGGGAGATTCTAGTCAGAGCTCAGAAGACAGAAGGTTGATAGAAATCCTACAGGACTTAATGTTTGCCCTGCTGTATTTTGAACTTGCTTTGGTTCCAATTCTCTGTATCCCCATTTGTAACTTTTGGAATGGAAACGTCTATCTTGTGCCATTGGATGTTGGAAGTGTTTATTTATTTTTTTTCCAGTTGTACAGGAGCTCACAGTTAAGAGTTTGCCTTTAATCTCAGAGGAGATTTTTGACTTGAACTTTTCAGCAATGCTAAAACGGTTAGGAATTTGGCAACTCTTGGAGATGGACTAAATGCCTTTTGCAGAAAGAGACTGCATGAGTCTTTGAGGGACTAGGGGTGGAATGTTATGTGTCTAGATGTCTCTCCAAAGCCTTATGTAGTCTGGGACCCTGTGGGACTTGGTAGGAGCCCCAGCCTGTGGAGTCTGTCCCTTAGGAGGCTGGGGCAGGCTCCAGCATAGGCCCATGAAGGGTTGGCAGCACCTTCAAAAGAGTACTGTGCCCAAGCCCACTGGGCTGGTCTCTGTAGGTTGCCTCCTTGTGTACGCTCTGTGGCCTCACTGTCTACACCTGCAAAGTGGTGGAAGTGAGAGCACCTCACAGGCCACATGCAGCTCCTGGCACAGTGCTGGCCTGGATTGCAGCTCCAGGGCCAACTGCCAGTCTGCACACCAGGCCCCGAGCCAGAGTCACCTGCCAGCTTCCAACTCCAGCTCACAGGGACCAGGCAGCCTGTGGCCATCTGCTTGACATGCTCTGTATGAAAGAATAACCACAGTGCAGAGATCCACTTGAATGGGATTTTGGAAAATGTTCATTGTAGCACTGGAGTCTGCTCTACGTCAGGGCTAAGCTAGCCACACCATGTGCATAAGTAACTGCACTTCCGTGCAGTGATGCATGTTCAGCATCCCCACTGGGGAAAGTCCTAACGAAACCCAATCTGTGCACACGGTCCACAGGGGCTGAGTGAAGCAGCATAAGTGAGATTCAAATCTTTCTCCTTAGGGAAAATAGGTCTAATAGTGACCTAATTTTTAATTTAGAAATTTAGCATATTACAGACAGCTCAGGGCATTTCCTATGTAGAATTACTGGAAATCCAGCATATTCCTCAGTGGCATTTGTGTCTGCAAGTGTAAATTAAAGATGATTTAGACTGTGCCAGTCACCAGGAACATGGCCCCTAAGCTGGAAACTGGACTCGAATGACAGAGGCAGTCTTGTTCCTACCATGATGGTGCACAGCCTCAGGGGGGTTCTGACCCCACCCCCAATCAGCAGAAGAGCTCAGCACTCCACCTGAGTGGTCTCAGGACACAGTGGGGCTGTCGTTCGCTGGTTTTTTTCCAGTGAGTCCTCACAGTGTAGCCGAGTGCAGACTTGGGGAATTAGAGGTTGCTCGAGATCAGCTCATCAGGGATCTCGGTGTCTTCCTCTCCCCACCCTCTCTCCACACCCACAAGGAGGAACTCACAGAGCTCACAGTTTTTGCCTTCAAAGCCTTCTGCACAGGTGCACAAGTAATCCCCGAGGCCGTCTCTGCAGGTGCCCTGGTTCTGGCAAGGGTTGTTCTCGCACTGGTCTCCATCTGTGAAGAGGATCAGAGACGAGCCTGTGGGTGCTGCCCTCCTTAAGGAGTCACTTTGCTGGCGGCAGTGGCCTGGCATGTTCAGATGGCAGCCTTGCCTCCTGCTCCTCAGGGACAGTTTCTCCTATCTAGATTTCACTGTCCCTAACTCTGCTGGTTGTGATGTCCTGGTCTAGCTGGAGGGCCAGTGGGGCCTTCTCATGTACACACCGTCTATGGCCAGGAGCAAGGAGCTCTGGGCTGCTGGCCATGCGGCCACCCGGAAGGAGGGGACACAAGAGTGCAACCCTTGTTTTGGGCCGAGTGTGGCCCAGAGAGGTCGGGATCCTCCTTCCAAGGATGTGGGATGGGGTGGGAACCCAGAGGCCCTGTACCACATTGCCATGGGCCTCTCATTTCTTGGTGGATATACATCACTCCAAGTCTCTATTAATGTAATAATAATAGAAATACAGTCCATAAAGTAATAATAAAAGAAACGGGACAATAAATATAACATCCTTGAATCATCCTGAAGGTATCCTTCTCCCCATCTGTGGAAAAATTGTCTTCTGTGAAACTGTCAGATGACTCAGACATCTTACCACCCATTTGACTGCCACAGTCCATTCCAGCCACCAGAAGAGAGAAATCCTCCAACTCTCCTTCTGAGAGACCTTCACGCTGTTACTAGGTACTCACTGTCTGATGACACTGTCTCAGACACGGTGAGCATTGAATCAGGGCTGTTACCTTATTAAGTCTCTATTTTTTTGCTTCTACTTGATACACTAACATTTTAAAAAATTGTCACAGAATTTGGTATGAGAGTGAACTGAGTTAAATCTATATTTGAACTGGGCATGGTGGCACAGGAGGCTGAGGTAGGAGGACTGCTTGATCCCTGCAGTTTGAGGCCAGCCTGAGTGATACAGTAAGACCCAGTCTCAAAAAAGGAAATCTTTATTTGATTAAGGACAAAAACTAGAATTAGTATAACACTACTACAAAAACTATTTTAAACAACTGTTTTAGAAATACACAGAGGGGGAAAGGCCTCAAGTGCACTTAGATTTAAATAGGAGTGGGAAGGAAATTCAGGAAATATTTTAAAAATTATAGTCTTTCCCAGTTTACATACCCTAATGAACCCCTTACACTTAAAAGAGAAGACATCTCACCTTTGTATTTGTTCCAGAATTCAGTCTAAAAGAAAAAAAAAATATTTAAAGTACATTAGAGAAGACAGATACCAACAGAATTACCATCCAGCACCTCAACGTCAGGGACGCACTGCTCTAGAACCTCTGTCTAAGGGGAGCTATCTGGATCTTCTGCGTGTGAAACGGTGGGGCTTTGTCTTCTCAAACGCTGAATCCTGAAATTGGATTTTTAATTAAATCACTAAGAGACAGACTGCACAAAATAGCTACTGCTTGCTACTCCCTAACTATCAATGAGTGGCTTGCCCACATTAACATGCCCGAGAAAAGGCCCAGAGAAGGTCCCATGCTTGCTAAGAGTTATTAAATTAGTTTGAGACAGCTTATTGTGAACTCAGGTGACACTGAAGAATGCTCGTAGTCTTAGCTAAACTTCTAACTGTCCGTAGCTCCTTCCCAGTTCTCATCTCCCTGACTCAGGGCAAAGAACCTCGGACTGTGGCCTTAATGAGAAGCAGGGTTGTGCAGATAAGACCCAGGTAAGGGTCTACTGGAGTTCACTGGATCGCCGCAGCCCTAGGACGGTGTGTGTCCTGAGAGGAGGTAGGGGACTGCGGTGCTCACAGCGGGAGGAGGCCTCGTGGGGAGGAAGCCCAGAGCGGTGCTGAGCACAAAGGGGGCTCTGGGACCCTCAGGAGGATCCAACCCACCGGTGCTTGAGCTGTGGTCTCCAAACCCGTGACAGTGTAATCCCTGTTACTTTAAATGACAGGCAGCCCTAGAAAGGAATGCAGTGTCTTTTTAAAATTTGGTTTAAAAACATCACAGTGAAATTGATTTTTGGTGTACGGTCCTGACTCCCACACATGTGTAGACTTGTGTGATGTCAGCCACAATTGGGATACAGAACAGTTCCACCTTCCCAGGTCTCCCCACACTCTCTCCCGCCTGCCCATCCCTGCAGCCCGCCCACCACTGACCTACTTGTTGCCAGTGACTTTGTTGGAATGTTGTATGGCAGTATATGAAAGTTCTCGTTGCACCATATCCTAATCAGAATTTGTTGTATTTTTTTCACTGTATAGGTATCTAGCGGCTCTCACTGGGTTTTTGTTTTTTTTTCTTTTTGTCCGTTTTTGAGATAAGGTCTCATGTTGGCCTTCAACTCACTTTGTAGCTCAGGCTGGCCTCAAAATCACAGCAATCATTCTGCCTCAGCCTCCCAAGTCCTAAGATGACAGATGCACACCAGCATGCTTGACATCCCTGAGGTTTTAATTCACATTTCTGTAATGGTTAATGGTGCTGTCTTCTCATAGCCACACTTGTCACCTGCATTTTCTCTTGGGCAAGTTGGTTGTTCAAGTCTTTTGTTCATTGAATTTAATTAGGTGTTTATCTTCTTTTGAGTTACAACAATTCTTCATAGGTTCTGAATACAAATCCCTTGTTGGATATGAGAACTTCATGTACTTTCTCAGTCTGTCACTTGTATTTTCATTCTCTTAACTATTTTTTTCACAGAGTAAAAGTTTCAGTTTTGACAAAAATCCAGCTTGTCATTTTTTAATTTTATGAGTCATCCTTTTGATGTCATATTCAAGAATATTTGCCTAACTCCATGTCATGCATCTTCTACTGTGTTTTCTTCTAAAAGTTATTAATTATGTCTTTCACCTTTAGAGCTATGGTTCATTTTGTGTTAGTTTTTGTATAGCTGTGATGTTTAGGTCAAGTTCACCTTTTAGGACCAAACTATGTCACTGCTCACAGCCATGATATTGGTATGTTTCCCCACCAAATGCATTAACAGCAATGTAACCACCAGTGTGGCTGGAACAAGAGGTGGACCCCGTAGGGGGTGACTATGGTACTGGCTTTGCCCTCATCGGTGACATTAATGCCTTCTCCTTCTCCTTCTCCTTCTCCTTCTCCTTCTCCTTCTCCTTCTCCTTCTCCTTCTCCTTCTTCTTCTTCTTCTTCTTCTTCTTCTTCTTCTTCTTCTTCTTCTTCTTCTTCTTCTTCTTCTTCTTCTTCTTCTTCTTCTCCTTCTCCTTCTCCTTCTCCTTCTCCTTCTCCTTCTCCTTCTCCTTCTCCTTCTCCTTCTCCTTCTCCTTCTCCTTCTCCT